AAAAAAAAAAAAAAAAAAAAAAAAAAAAAAAAAAAAAAAAAAAAAAAAAAAAAAAAAAAAAAAAAAAAAAAACCAATAATATTTTTATTATGGATTGTATTTTATCTAATGTATTATTTATTGATATCCTTTTTCAATTTATATTTATTTAATAAGTTATTTATTATTTTTGAATTATAATTACAAAAGATAAATATATAGACTATTAATTTTAATAAATATATTTTAGATAATATAAAAAATATTTAAAGATGTTTTATATTTATTAAATTTTATTATTAAGTAATAATAAAATAGTATATTTTATATTAATATTATTAAATAAAGATTAGTTGTTATAGTTTATGAAAATGTGATTTCGTCAAATATTTAGAGGATAGAATTTAATAAAAGAATTTTGAACAAATCTATTTTATAGTAATAATATAATTGTTTCTTAAAAATCTTGAAAATAAAATGTGTATTGGATTTATCAAACTTTAGTAGTACTTATAATTTTAGTAAAATTAATTCTAACTAATGTTGAATTTATAATTCCGGCTAACATTGGATTTATAGAATTAAGATTTATAATTTCATCAGGCATTATTATTTTCGCGATAATCACTCATATTATTTTATCTATCATAAAAAGCAAAAATAAAGCGATTGACTCCCTAGATGCCGAATATTATCTATCATTTGCGCTCTAATATTGCATGAGGATGAGGCCGAATTTTTATCTATTTGATGGACATAAAAGCTAAATTTTTTTCTTATCTGTCTTATATTATTCTACCTTTGTCCCCAGATCAGAAAATTGATCAGATCCTGCCTTTTGAACATGTCAAAAAAATTGGGTCAGGGCATCAAAAAATTTTCTTACCTTTTAGGACAAAATCATATCGCATTAATCTATCATATGAATTTTTATTTAAAGTTTTGGATTTTCTACCTAAAGTATATCTCTGTTTCACCTACCTACGACATCTACACAAAAAAATATCACTATCACTTCCGGTCCGCTTTCTATCCCTTCACAAGACACTTTGTTTGAAGCAATCTTGCTCGATTATGCGCAATCCTGTGATCTGTCAGTTGAGTTTTATAATAATTCTTTCGATCGTTCAAAAAGCCTATCTAAGGAAATGCAACCATTAAGTTTCAGATCTTGATTACAACCTAGTAAATAAATCACTTCCAAAATTTACTTCCACCTAATGAATCGGAGAAACCAATAATAAGGAATGTGATGAAGGCCACGATAAAGGCTACGATGAAGACTATAATGAAGGCTGTGAAATAGACTATTATGAAGAAAATTATAAAGGATCATTTGAAAAAGCTTAGAAGCTTATCGTTGTGAGTAAGGATGTCACTTGACCTGTAAAATATAAAAAGGGTACAAAAGGTACAAAATTTAACCAACATTAATAAAGAAATAGTGATTTCGGCTAAATTAGTAATTTCGGAATGTCTATTTTTATTTTCCAGCATTTATTTTTAACGATAATGTATTATTCCCTTATATAATAAAATCCGATAATTTGTTTTTACGTACTTGCAGATATTTTGTGTTGCATGGTAACTTCGGAATGACAATAAAAAAATAATAAACTAACGTCTTATTGATTCATTTTTTTTTTTTTTTTTTTTTTTTTTTTTTGCAACATTTACTTAGAAGCTTCATCTTATTGAAAGACTTTCCCCTTTTCCGCAATAGTCGCATAAAAAATTTAAACCAGGATTTCATATTATTTGGAGACGATTTATCACGTTTGTTTTCTGTTGATGTATCGAGTATGAAGAGATTGAATTGACAGATATTTTAATATAATCATTTTACTTTCCCAACTTACCTCTAGATTTTGTGAGATTTGAAAGATTTGGAAGATTTGGAAGATTTGAGAGAATGAATTGTTTATTATCGTATTCTAATATGAAGAAAGATTAGAACTGTATAATATGCTCATTTTAATTTGTTTATAAAGATCATCTTACCTTCTTGCTCCTCTATTTTTAAGGATCAAACCATAATTAATGAAGCCATCAATAAATAATTGAATGGTGAAACTTACCTGCAGTTGCGCTTCGTGGAGCAGGGAGGTCAAAGTTGTAAAGTGCGCTATATGAATTAACTGTTGATGGTATATCTTGCATTACCAACTCTACGCCGAAATCCTCAAGTTCTTCCACAGATTTACATGTTTCCCAAAAATAATTCATAAGTTCTGAGGCACTTGGTCGGTTCACATGATTGGCATCCCAACACCGTTTCATCAATTTTTCATACGATTCGGGAAGGCTATTTATAATTTCTGGACGAATACCGTCTATTATATCAACAGCCAACTCATAATTGTGTTCGCGGCCGCTAAATGGGAGTCGGCCAGTGGACAACTCGTACATCAACATTCCGATACTATAAATATCAGCTGCGGATGTATACTCACTGCCAAACAACACCTCTGGTGCAATGTAGGGGAGAATACCATAAACGCTTCCGTGAGGTTTGCTTGGAGGTCCGCATAGCCCCAAATCAGAAATAGCCCAAAAATTGTGATCTTGCCGCAAAATATTTCCTGGGTGCAAATCTTTATGTACTAAATTATCTTCGTGTATTTCGTTAATTGCCGAACAGATACCGAAACAAATGTAGTAGACATCTTTCCACGCGATTGACGCATAGTTTTTTTTTATATAATGACGCAAGTCTTCCCGCATCCTCCACATGACCAATACATAATCCTCGGCAATTGGATCCTTGGTTACGCCCAAACAGTGCACAACTTGGTATCCGCTGCTACGCAGAGAAACGTGCACTTTAAGCTTAGAAAAAATTAGTATAGATATCCACGAATGAAATACTTCTTAAAAAGAAGATCTGTTCAATTATTTTACCTCTTTTAAAAATTCGGCAGTTGGGTTACTAGAGTGTTCTATCTGTTTAAGAATAACCTCAAGTGACGCCTGTCCTGGTGGACGTATTGTTGGTGTGTCGGGACCATCACGTTGAAATATTTGCCGTTCATTATCAAATGAGTCTAATCCCCCCTTTGGCCATTCTGCAATATAAATGGAGCCAAATGCACCTTTTGTTACAGGGCGTATGTTTTTAAGGTCTTCATATGGTATCCACTCTATGACCCATCGTGGTAGAGGAAGCTTTCTTTGTACGTCTCTAATTATTTCATCAATTTCTTGATTTCCGGATGTCCAGTTGTCAAAATTGTTTTCAATGCATTTTCGAAGGCAATGTTCGCAGTGAGCGAGAGTGTACCCTGATTTGCCACATTTTGCGCATGGATATTTTGGCCCTTTGAGGAAAATAAGGTTTTGCGCATCTTTGTAGAGAGTTATTCGATATATCGCATCTTTTTTTTCCGCGTCGGTTAAAAGTATGTTTTTTTTTATATGTTCAACCTTTCCGTCATATGTCTCGTTTGTATCTATGCCTGGATTCGCAAATTCGGCTTTGTTAATTGCGTCAAAGATCGAATCGACTCTAAGCCTCACAGCCATTCTGTAAATATTAAATGTAATCACCGATCTTTTTCAATAATGAATGATTATGTCATCTATTTATTCGTCATGGTTACCTTTTACTTATATGGAAAGGATGATTCAAACAAAACTTAAAACTTAAATAAGTAATAAAACTTGATTTTTATTAGTGTATCCAAAGTAGTATTCTTTTATTAACATCATTCTGAAAAAAGTGATGGAGTATAGAGATCATAATATTTTTTTAATATAAAACAGGTCCACTCTATTAAATATAATATATTACATATTACTATTACTTGATTCAATAAATTTGTTTTACAAACTTTTTTTTTTTATATATTATTATGCTATTTTTCTATAAAGCTAATTGATTATAAAATTCTTTATGGATTGTTGCTTTTTTATTAAGAAAACCAATGTGTCTAGGTTTTATTAATATTTTTATTAAAGATTTGAAAATACTAGTTATAATTTGTTAATAATATTATAATTAATTAGATGATATATTATTCTATATCCATATTGATCCTCTGATCACACACAAAAAAGATGTTCACAAGAAGTTCTTATACTTCTTTGCTAATAAAGTCTTAATACTTT